GTGGTGAACAACTCCTCACAGGGGCCCTGTTGGTCCACATAACAGCTGACACTTCCCCTGCCCAGCTCCCCAGCACCTGCTGGAGTGCTGCATGTTTTCCAAATAGCAGGGAAGTATGGCAACTCACCCTAATTAGGCCAAACTGCCCTTAGGGCTGCAGTCAGGCAATCCAAAAGTACATCATTCCCTGGTGCTCACTGGCATTTTGTATCCTCTGCCAGAGAGATGGGTGAGTCGTCAGGGAAGCCACTTTACTCATTTCTGACCCAGATGGAACAATGCCCTCGACTCCTAAATCCCAAAGATGCAAAGGCCATGTAGGCGGAGGCTCCAGCTCCGCCTGGGTATAGGCGTGGAGCGTGGAATGTTCCACAGTGGGGTGCTGTCTGCTCCACTCAGTGTGAGGAACATGTGGTTGTTGCATCTTTATTTGCCTAACAAACTGGGCAGGGCTTCAATATGGGAGGGTTGGTGCCCAGGCGGCAGCCTCACCAACAGCCCTGTCCTCGGTCCCACCCCGTCATTGTCCCCGGCTCCTCCTACCCTGCTGTCTCCTCTGCTGTCTCCAGGACTGAAGGCACCACCCCTTCCTTCAGCACCCCCATGGGCTATCTCCTGTTTTTGTGCTGTCCCCTCCTGTGCCACCAGTGTGTCTCTCAGCAGTGGGACCTGTTTTCTTTCCCTTCTCAGACCACCCCACAACTCATCTTCCTGGATGCTTGCCACTGGAGGGTATTTCTCTCATTAGTAACCCTTTCTAATGCTGCGAGAAACAACCACCCCAGTTTTCCTGCCACCTCATGGTCACTCAGTTCCTGAGTCCCTGATTTTCCATGGGGCTGACTCCACTGCCTCCAGTGTCCCCATTTTTCCCAGATTCTGGGGAGAGGCCCACTCCTCCAGGAGGCACTTTCCCGCAGACACCATCCCCACTGTGGGATCTCCAGGTGAAGCCTCACCACCCACACGGGAATCCCCTGGGAATCCCTGCCATCCCTAGGGGGGTCCCCAGATGTATCCCCACCGCCTCTAGGGGACTAAGAGTACCTCCACACCATCTAAACGAGCAGTCCGCACCAACAGGGAACCATGAGGACCGATTTCAGGTTCACCAGATCCTGCCAACTATGCCGGATATAGCCTTGGAGGGAGAGATGTTCCCAGGCCAGGGCAAGTCACCCTATGAGACTGCAAAACCGAAATCAGTCAAGGCAAGGAGAAGGGAGAAAGGCTTTTATCTCTTACGGTTGCTAGCCAGGCTCAGCACCGTCCGACTCCTCCAGCCACGGCTGATGCTCTCCTTCCCCTACCCACCCCTTCTAGCAGGAACTTTGCCAGATGCCAGACCAGTTACATACCAGGAATGGAGGGGAGGAGAGAATGGCCATTTCCTCTCCACCCCTTGTCCTGGAGGTCCCGAGGCCCAGCATTGGTTACAACCATTGATCCGTAAATGCACTTAAAAGAACTGCTGGATTCCTTAAGGGAAGAGACAACCACACCAAGAAGCGGATATCCAACCAAGAGATTGATTTAGCGGCGGCGAGGTGGCTTCCCGCGAGAGTGAGAGCGGCAGCGCAGGCTGGGGAGCTTTGGCTTATTTATATACCCTATTAAGGCACTGGCATCAGCTAATTGGCTATGGAGTCATTAGGGTTAGCTGGTGGGACTTTATTGGTCTGCGTCACGGGTGTTCAGTTGTCATGAGTGGGAAGCTGAACTTAATTCTGGGAAACTGAAACTTAATGGTCGCCACCTTAGATAGAAGAGTGTGGGGGTTGGGCACCAATTTTACTAACAGGACTAAGGCTAGGTGGGAGGTTCTGGAAATTCTGCATTGACCCCTTAGCTCTGTGCCCTCTGGAGCTTACACACAGGGTAGAGGAATGTAACAATAGATTTATACTAACTAGATGAAGCACTTGTGATGTGCCAGGCCTTCCAAGCCTTCTTCCCAGGGTAACTCCCTCAATGCTCTCTGTGACCTCATGCAACCAAGATCCTACGATGATGGCCAAGGGACAGGTGGAGAAACTGAGGCCCATGCTAACAAGGTTGGTGACTCACCCACAGTCAAATGCCTACTAAGTGGTTAAAGCTGGATGTTGAACATGAGCTAGTAGCTCCGTCCCTATTCTGTGATTGAAACCATAACATGTTCCCTAAATATGCCACACCATGAACAAAATGGATGAATATATCCATTTTCTCTGTGTACCCAGACCTCACTCCCTTATGTCTGAAACAGAATTATGTGCATAGAAGCCATGACACACACATACACGCTGATATGGGCTCCCAAGTTCACTGCCCTGGGCCGCATCAGGACCCTTTTGGACAGAGAGCACTAAAAGTGGGGAAGTGACTGACTGGTTGTCATGAAATGTGGCTGTGACAGCACATCCCCTTAGCTGTGCTGTTCACACCATACAGTGGTCATGGGTTATGTGCTTTCTAAGAGGGATTATTAGGTTCACCATACAGACTGGCCACCACATACACCAACACCTTCATCTTCTCTCATTGCCACCCCTTCAAGGTGCACACCTGAAAATGGCCTAGAGGAGAGGTGACTTGCCCAAGATCACAGGCCCGAACCCGGGCCTGACTTGCGTGGTGTTCCACACTCCATGCAAAGTTGGGTTGGCATTCTTCCATCTCCAAGTCTGTGCATCAGACACATGTGACACCAGCCCCCAGGAGTTGGAGGTGTCATCCATATATCTCTGAGGATGTCCCTAGGGAAGAATGTCTGGCATGACCCTGCCTGTGCAGGTTGGGATGTTGGGCAGCTCCTGGGAGGCACTGTGGCTTCAGCAGGACATGGAACTGGTGAGAAAAGGAGGTCTGAGCTCAGCTCTCATCACAGAGCTGGGACCCTAGTGACATTGCCGAAGCACGAGGGGAGGGCTCTGGTGGAGATCTGTGTAGTCATGCATGGCAAGGGGTCCAGGACAATGGGCAGTCAGCAGCCCAGAGGCACATGTAAGCGTGTCTGAATGCAGGGAACCTTGAGGAAGTGATGTCACCGATGACATGCCCAGTAGAACCTGAATTGTGACCTGGTGCCCAGTTCCTGGTCACAGACCCCAGTCCTGCTCACTTGACCGGAGACGCTCGACAGAGCAACATACGGTCTTGTTGTGCAGAGCCTTCTGAAGGCATGGAAGTCAGGGAAGCAAACAGGGACGGTCTTCCTGCTCGCTGTGGGCGTTGGCTCAGAGACCACCTCCAACGCCTCTGTCTGTGTTGTCCAAGGAACCCCGAGGTAACACAGGGCAGCCCAGAGCGGGCCACTCCAGGTCCAGGCCCCAAGTGTGACCCATCCCGGGATGACCTCCCCCACCCCTCGGCCCCTTCTGTGTGTGTGCGGTGGGTGTGGGGTATGGGCAGGACTGAAGGCTGGGGAGGAGGGGGGCCATTCCTGGGTGGCAGCATGTTGTGAGGTGGTGGCCCCCTGGTGGGGCAGTCAGTGTCACACCTCTGGTCCCATCATTCAGGACATGGAGGTGCGTGTTGGGACCAGGTACTTCCACCCACGTGTTAGTCCTGAGCCCAGGGTATGTCCTCTCCTTCCCTTACTGACCAGTCATATGCAGATGGCCCTGTGTGCCTGATGTCAGGGGCAGGGACTGAGGCCCACATTTCCCCAAGGGGAGGTCCAGGCAGCCCCGGGTGGCACCTCCCAAGCTACTAGGCGCTAGCTTTTCGGAGCTCCACCCTGGGGAGCATGGAGGAGCTGGTGGATGGATTCACCTACTCCATCTCTCTAGGCCCGGGGCAGGCTGTCTACACTCAGGACCCCATTCCAAACCTGGCAGCCTGCCAGGGCCCTCCCAGGGCTTCCCCACGAGAGTGGTCGACAGTCCCACTCCAGAGGGCCTGGAATCTCATTCCCTGGGGGCACCCCTTCCCTCTCCTTGATCGCACCCCAGAGGGCTGGAGACTCTCGGGTGAGTTGCAAACCTCCCTCGTCCTGGTGGTTCCTGGGTTTCCCGCTGACGATAGTCCCCCTGCCCCCTTCAGCATGAAGAGGAGTCAACTCTCCGTGGCAATAAGGTCCGCAGGCGGAGGGCTCCCTGGACAGGTGTGAGGAAGAAATGGAGAATGAGGACGGCACGAGAGACCCCTGTGCTGGAGCTACGGCCGGTGTCACCTGCTTCAGCCCCGGCAGAGCCAGAGGATGTCCCAGCAGTGGCCTCAGCCCTGGGGCCCGGAGCACCTGCCGGAATGGCACCGGGCCTGGCAGAGCCAGCGCCAGGTCCAGAGCCCACCAGCCCCTGTGGGGCGAGCATCTGGGACATCCCAGGAGTGGTCTTGGGCCCCGAGGTGGAGCCCCATGAGCCTTCAGAACCCAGCAGGTGACCAATCTTTGGATTCCCACAGGCGGGCTGATGACTGGGGACTTCCTCTTTGGGAGGATGGGAAAGGATGGGGTCCCAGGACACACAGGGTCAAGAAGGGGGAGGAGCAGTTGCCTGGACAGGCAGGGGAATGCAGAGTGGCCAGGCCCACACAAGGGTGGGCTGGGAGGGCAGTGTGGCTGGGAAGACCAGGCTTCTCACTCTTCCACCCCCAGGCCTTCCCCCAGCCCCAGGATGGGCCAGGCTAGGCGCCATGCCTGGGAGCCCAATGATGTGACCAGCGTCCTCCATGGCAGCCAGCTTTCATCCATCCCAGAGGGCCAAGTCCTCCACCACTTGGCCCAGGAGGAGCACCTGGGGCCCACTGTGGCAGAGCTGGAAGGTGAGGGGCTGCAGCCAGGGAACCGTCTAGGGTGGGCTTCCCGGACCGGGGTTGCCTTCAACGCAGTGAGGGCTTTTCTGTCATTGTAAGGTGTGGGGAATCAGCCCCGGGGTGACCCTTTCTCTGTGTCCTGCCTGCTCCAGAACCACGGCAGACGCAGCTGGCTCCAGAGACACGGGGAGGGCCGGCTTCATGGCTAGAGCCAGTTCAGGAGCTCCCTGAGACCCCTGTGCTGGAGCTACGGCCAGTGTCACCTGCTTCAGCCCCTGCAGAGCCGGAGGACGTCCCAGCAGTGCCCTCAGCCCCACCGCCGAGCCCTGAGCTTGAGCCCCATGAGCCCTCGGGCACAGGGCCCAGGGCACCTGCCAGAATGGCACCGGGCCTGGCAGAGCCAGAGCCAGCTCCAGAGTCCACCCTCCTGGCATTCCCCCCCGCCTGGTGGCCGAGCAGCTGACCCTGATGTATGCAGTGAGTGGAGCGGGATCGAAGTTGGGGTGGGCCTTCCCTGTGCCACGAGCTGCCCCAGACCTGCTGTCCCAATGTGCACTCCTGTGATCTGGGCCGACATGCCACCTTCCCACCATGTGCCCTGAGAAACTCTCCTCACCCCCAAGCCTTCACTGACCACAGGGACAGTAGGGCTGGCACTTAGGGATCCTTGCAGACCAATGAGAAATAGCAGAGGGAAGGTGGGCAGGGCCTGGCTGGGGTGGGAGGGGCAGTGTAGTAGAGGGGTGCTCAGAGAGGTGCTGCCAGGGCCTTAGGTCCTCAGGCCGTTGGCCTGGCAGGCCTCCACAGCCTCCGCACTTCAGAGGCCCCTGCCATGTACCTGACTGCATGGGAGACACAGACACCAACAAAGGCCTGGTTGGAGTTGTTTTGGGGGTAACTGCACCTGAGTGGGTAGCGGGATCCACGGGGTGACAGAATGGGAGGCAGATGCCCCAGGACGTGCAGGCCTGAGCTGCCTTGTGCTGCAGGGAGGAGGTGAGGGAGGATGCCTGTTCTCAGTGAGCCCCTCTGTTCCCCACCACTGTGGGGTCCAGTGCATCCGTTCCTGGGTGCCTCAGTGGATGGAGTCCGAAGCCTGGACTGCCATAAGGCTCACACCACATCCTCAGTGGCCTGGGCTCCAGCTCTGACTAGTAACTGCCTGGGCCCAGGGGCACCGTGGACACAGCTAAATGACACCCCCTTGCCATCCCCAGGAACTGTTCACCAAGGTGGCAGTGGCCGACCGCATGACCCGCTGCAGGAGCCAGTCATATAACGGAAATGTTGAGCACCTGGCCCCCACCGTCAATAAGATCATAAAACAATTTGATGACGCAGCCAACCTGGTCATCTCCTCCTGCCTCGGGGCCCCAGGCATGACGGCATGGGACAGGGCCCGAGTGGTAGAGTTCTGGATCCAGGTGGCCAAGGTGTGCCATGGAACAGCCCCCAGGGTCCATCCTGGCATCTTGGGACCTGCTCCCCTCCTTGGCCAACTCTCAGGATGGAGTCCTACAGTCTGACCCTGCCCGGTCCCTGGGCCCCTCCTGCCAGGGGCGTGCTGACCTGGACTCACAGGCCCCGGGGGTGGGACAGCCATCCCTGGCCCCTTCCTTGGGTTGAGATACAGTCCTCCACCCAGGAGGGCTGCTCAACAGGTCCTGGGTGTGCTGGGCTCCCTGGGTGTCTGTCTCCTTAAGGACAGGAGTTCATAGGGGGACAGAAGCAGGCCACGTTCTCAGCTCTGTCTTCCCTCCCAGGAGTGTCTGGACCTCGAGAATTTTGCGTCCCTCCACGCCATTCTCTTGGCCCTGCAGAGCCCTGCCATCAGTCGTCTGCAATGCACCTGGGGACGTGTTTCCTGGTAGGTAGTCCTGTCACTGGGACCAGGTCACCTGAGTGGACCAGAGACACCACCCCTAGGTCTGGCAGTGTCCCCTCAGTTGGCTGGGGCTCCCGGGAGGTGGCAGACCCTGGGGACAGGGGCTTACAGGATGGCGGGCTCTCAGAGCCCCCATGGGTTAGGCCAGCAGTTCCCCCTCAGGAATCGGGTTTCTTCGTCAGGTGTGGGTTGAAGCCAATGGGAGATGTTCAGCATGTGTTCTGCAGCAGGAGGTCTCTGCCCCAAGGACAGCCACCTGTCCCAAAGCAGATCCGCCCCCAGGAGAACTGCAGGCCTCAGATTCCCCAGGGCTAAGAGCCATGGTGGAAAGCCTCATGCAGGCTAGTGGAAAAGGGGTCCAACACCCCCAAAGCCTCCACCTGTTGGCCACATGTCTCCCTCCTCTCTCCTCCCCTTAGGAAGAGCTCCAGGATGCATAAGAGACTTGAAAAAGAGAAGTGGCTTAACCGGAAGAGGCTCCTCAAGGTAAATGGAGGCTAGAGGTCTAGAGGGAGGGGATCCTTGGGGCAAGCCCTCTGCCGTGCTGTGGCCCAGCCTTGGGTGCTGACTCGAGGTGTGCATGGTGAGAGGGGACAGCTGATGGGAGAAGTAGGCTCCGCCTGGCCCCCAAGGTGTCCTGTTTGTCTCCCTCCCTGGCTCCACTTGACTGGGGGCCTAACATCCAGTGAGGACCCAGAGAACAGGCTCCTGGTCAGGGCTGGGGCTGGGGCTGGCGCTGGGCTGGGCTGGGCTGGCAGCAGGGGTGGGGCCTATGGCTGAGCAAGGTCAGCCCCTCCCCAGGGCCCCCTGAGCCCATCACTGCCCCTCTGAGGCCTCAGGCTCCTCATCTGGTCATGGAAGGTTGTCACCCTGGGGTGCGGGCCTCCCAGGTGAGCAAGGTCCAGGGAGCACAAGATGGCCTTCAGCTTTGTGCCCATCCCACCTGGTCGTGTGAGGGGAGCCGTGGTGATAGCCAGGTGACAGTGAGTGCTCAGGGCACCCTGGGAGGCAGAGGGAACTCCCCTGACACTCTGCAGGTGAGGAAGCCTCTCAGGGCGGCCGGTGTGGCCCAAGGACACCCATGAGTATGAGTGTGTGCTGGAGCTGCGATCGCCCTCAGCTGAGAGCCTGCTGGAGGTGGGGACAGCATAGTACCAGGGGACTCGGGCGAGGCATCCACCAACCAAGCTCTGATTTGTGGGAGGCCATGTGGGAGGGGAGCATGAGCACACCTGAGTGTCCTGGACCTTGCAGGAGGCGACCTCCATGGTGACGCAACAGCATCGTTTCCTCCGGAGATCTGAGGATAGGCAGGAGGTGAGAGTGGCCTGGCCAGGGTCATGGCTGTGGGGGAGACCCTGCACTTGCTGCTGGCGCCACCAGCCCTGAACTGCCAGGACTGGGGTGACCAGGAGGGAGAGAGCAGCTGGGTACAGAGGACGGGTGCAGGGACCACAGGTCTTGGAATTGGCCAAAAGCCAGTCCTAGGAGGGACAGGAGGGGAGAGCAGGGCGAAGGGAGGGCGTGCAAGGAAGCACAGGGTGGTCCAAGGGGAGCTAGGGGCTGCGAGTGAGGGGTTCAGGGGAGGCTCTATGGGCTCCCCTGAGGTAGACGGGGCACCTCCCCACCCCAGTGGCACAGCATGGTCCCCTTCTTCGGATTGTTCATGGCTGGCCTGCTGGTCCTAGACAAACCCCTGGAACAGAATGATGTGAGTGAGCCCAGAGGGGCACAGGGTGTGCAGGATGGTGAGCTTTGAAGAGGAGAGAGACCCTAGTGAGCCGGAGCTCTCAGCACCAGGCCACCCGCCTCTTGGGAGTCTCCCCTCCACCCCAGGGGCTGGGCTCCTTGGAGAGGGCAGCCAGAAGGACCCCTGCCCCCCTTAAGCCCCGGTCCTGGCCCCAGGGCAGGTGGGGCTGAGGGCTACAGGCTGCAGCCTCTGAGCAGGATGGCCTCTCCCTCAGGCCCTGCCCAGGGGGAGGGATGTTGCTCCTTCAAGGCAGGAAGCACAGGAGGGGGCTGCCCATGCCTTCCTGCCTGAGGCCTCAGTCTCCGTGTCATCAGAGAGAGTTGCATGGGAAGCTTGGCCTCAGCTCCTCGGTACCCCAGATCCTGGCTTAGGTCTGGGTGCTGTTTCTGGCAGGCCTGCTGCTTGGAGGGCCCCAGCAGTCTTCCAACTTGAGAAAGGTTGGGGAGGTTTGGACCTCATTCTGGGCACAGGGGGCTGTTTCTGATGCACTCTGGCTGCCTTGGTGCCTTCCAGGGTGATGGGATGAGAGAGGCAGAGTTGAGCTACTGTAGCACCCCACCACAGAAAGTGAGGGGTAGTGCAGAGCCCCTGGGCAGGACCCTGTCCGGCCCAACCCCTGGGTCTAACATGTCTTGAGAATGTTAACACACCCAGAGCTGAGGACACTCAAGGCTTTGTCGGGTGGAGGATGGGGGTGGCATCAAGACAGCCTTCCTGGAGGAGCAGCTAGAGACCCAACAGTGGGAACAGGCAGCACTGGATAGCATTTGAGGGAAGGTGGGTTCCCACGTGAGCAAAGATCCAGTACCATCCCACTGCCCCACTCCTCACGCCCCTCCTTGTCTGCATCCTGTCCTTCCTCTGCCCCAGGAAGCTTCCATCATACGTGAGATCCTCATACACAAGTACGCGGCCTCGCTGTATGACCTGAAGCCCGAGGAGCGCTTCAGGTCCTTTTTCCGGGCCGTGGAGCCCCTGGATGAGCAGAAGAGGTGAGGCCGGGAAGGAGTCAGCTGTGGGCTCCAGCTGCAGGCGGGCTGCGGGAGAAGGGCCCCCTGACATGTGGCTCCAGGGGCTCACAGGTGCCCCTCTGTCCTGCAGGCTGGAGCCCCCAGGCCAGAGGGCCGGCAGAAAGGGATTGTTGTTCTTCAGGTTCCATAACATTTAAACTTACTGGCCAGGGCCAGGTGAGTTTATGGGCTGGGGTGATTGGCAAGGGGTGGGCTGCTCCCCAGCCTCAGGGAAGCTTCGGGCCATGTTGGGTGTGGGGGAGTACTAAAGACAGGTTGGGCTGGGATTCTGCTCCCCTGCCGAACAGTCCTGTCAGGCTCAAGGGTGATTCCCCTCCCTCTCTGGGACCCAGTTTCCTCCTCTGTGAGTGGGTGATGCTCATGAGCCTCCCTGTGACAGGGACCCCACGGGTGACGGTGATTGACAGGACCCTCTGCACAGGGCCAGGAGCACAGAGGGTAGTGAGGACAGGGTGGAAGCAGGATAACGGGGGGAACCTGGGATAACCTGCCTCTTCTGTTCACCTGCATGGCCCTGTAGCTGCTGTCATCGGGCCCACGACCCAGCTGGTACCCTGGCTGTGTGCAGAGGAGAGCTTCCCCTTTGGACAGGAGGCACCCGGCGCCCCAGGACCCTAGTCTGCTTCCTGCTCCTCTTCCTCCCGCTGCTCATCCTGAGCCTCTGCTGGGGCAGGTGCTCTTGCACCTCTTCCATCAGCAGACTTGGGCAGCTTCCCAGGCTGCTGCTGCAGGCTCAGGGACCCGTACGTAGCTGCAGCCAATGGAACAGACTGGAGAGCCCAGATATACATCCAAGTATATATATGGTCAATTAATACATGATAAAGGAGCCATGGACAGACAATGGCAAAATGACAGCCTCTTCAACAGCTGGTGTCCTCAAATTGGACAGCTACATGCAAGAGAACGAAACTGAATTATTGTCTATCCCCATACACAAAAGTAAACTCGAAATGGATCAAAGACCTGAATGTAAGTCATGAAACTATAGAACTCTTAGAAGACAACATAGGCAAAAATCCCCTGAATATCAGCATGAGCAACTCTTTTCTGAATGCATCTCCTCGAGCAAGGGAAACAAAAGCAAAAATGAACCGATGGGACTACATCAAACTTAAAAGCAAAGGACACCATCAACAGAACAAAAAGGCATCCTATTGGAGTATATATTTGTAAACTACACATGCGACAGGAGTAAACATCCAAAATATATAAAGAACTCACATGCCTCAACACCCAAAAAGCAAATAACCCAATTAAAAAAATGGGTGGAGGATATGAACAGATAATTCTCCAAAGAAGAAATTCAGATGGCCAACAGGCACATGAAAACATACTCCACATCACTAATTATCAGGGAAATGCAAATAAAAACCACAATGAGATATCACCTCACACCAGTTAGGATGGCCAGTATCGAAAAGACTAAGAACAACAAATGTTCACGAGGATGTGGAGAAAGGGGAACCCTCCTACACTGCTGGCTGGCATGTAAGTTAATTCAACCATTGTGGAAAGCAATATGGAGGTTCCTCAAAAAACTAAAAATAGAAATACCATTTGACCCGGGTATTCCACTCTTAGGAATTTACCCAAAGAATGTAATTTCTCAGACTCAAAAAGACATACCCACCCTATGTTTATTGCAGCACTATTTACGATAGCTAAAATATGGAAGCAACGTAAGTAGATGAATGGATAAAGAAGAGGTGGTACATATATGCAACAGAATACTACTCAGCTATAAAAAGAAACAAATCCTAACATTTGCAACAACATGTACGGAGCTGGAGGATATTATGCTCAGTGAAATAAGCCAGGCGAGAAAGACAAGTACCAAATGATTTCACTCATTTGTGGAGTATAACAATGAAGGAAAACTGAAGGAACAAAACAGCAACAGACTCACAGACTCCAAGAAGGGACTAGCTGTTAAGAAAGGGGAGTGGTGGGGGAGGGCCGGTGGGGGGAGAGGGAGGAGGAAATGTAGCGGAATTATGATTGGCACACATGGTGTGGGGAATCAGGGGGAGGACAGTGTAGCACAGAGAAGACAAATAATGCCTCTGTGGCATCTTACTACACTGACGGGCAGTGACTGCAGTGGGCTATGGTGGGGACACTATAAAGGGTGAATGTAGTAACCACAATGTTCTTTTACGTGAAACCTTCATAGGATGTATATCAAGAACACCTTAATAAAATAAGTAAGTAAATAAATAAATAATCTTACTGCTTGGCAAATAGTGAATCTGTGGCATCTTCACTGATGGAGAGTGACTGCAATGGGGTATGGGAGGGACTCGATAATATGGGTGAATGTATTAACCACATTGTTTTTTCATTTGAAACCCTCATAGGGGTGTATATCAATAATACTTTAATAATATTAATAATAAAGAATCTTACTTCTTAACTTCCTGGGTGTTAAAATGCAATCCTATCTTTAAGGAGAATTATGATTGGCACACATGGTGTGGGGGGGATCCTTCCTGCCTTTCATCGTGTTGCTTGTGACTGGGCTTAGTTGCCATATTAATCAAGTTACATATTACTTGATTAGGGGCTGGAGGAAGAAAAGCAGCATCTGGGCAAAGTTAAAGATAAACGGGGCCTTTTAGCAGGCTAAAGTAAATTTTACAATAGCCTCATTTAATTGACACAATGAAGACATGGGCCATTCTGAGGAACTTTCTTATCTGGGGGATGTTCAAACATTCCAGGCCAACTTACTCCTGGCTTTTTCGTTTTAACTAATCTTCACGGAAGAATGCTTATACGTCTAGTTTGATATTTTACTTCAGAGAATTAACGTGACTCTGATTTTGCTTAATTGTTTAATAGGGAGTTTTGGTAGGGGTCTTTTTCCAGAGGCCCTCACGCCACTCTGACTACACCCCCCGTCCCTGTCTCAGAATCTCTGTGCCTAGTTATATATTACTCAGCTGCAGATTACAAACCTAAATGACAGAAAGATATGAATTTTTAAATACAAGAAAATGCACTGTCAGTTCCCAGACCAAAGTAAAGAAACTTCATTCCCAAATAAAAAATACGTGAGATACCTCCTGAAACATTTTTTAATTTTAAAGGTGCTTCCTCCGGGCGGCCTCTCCCCCGCCGCCCCGCCGCGGGTCACACTTGAACTTCAGCCCGCCCGGCCCTCGCCCTCGAGGCCCCCGCCGACAAAATCCACACAACGCAAAACGCCCGCCGGCTTCCACGTCTGCGCGGCCCGTCCCGTCCCCTCCGCCTGCGGCTCCGTCCCAGGGGACGGTAGCAGGTTGGCGGTGCGTCCCCAGGCCGGGCGGACGCGCACTGCGAGGCGGAGAGCAGCCGCGCTCACCACCCGGTCCCGGACGGAGGAGCAGCGGCTCCGGCGACCCCCTCCCCCCCTGCCCCGGAGAACTTCGCCCGCCGCTCAGACGTCCGCTCTCGGCGCACCCGCTCCGCTCCCTCCCTTCCCAGGCGGCCCCTCCGGCGCGCCCGCCGACTGCCGACCCCCGGCCGGGACCCGCGAGGCCACCACCCGCGTCGGCCGCTTCCCGGCCCCACGGGCCACGCGCTGCCCGCCGAGCCACCTGCACGGCCGCCCCCTCACCGGCTCCACCGCGACCTCAGGCGGGGGAAGGGACCCCCGCGTCCCCTACGGGTCCGGCCGCGCCCCGCGACCACCTACCTTTCAGCCCGCAGGGCCGTCGCTGTCGCCTTCATCCCTTAAGTGTGGGTCCCGCTCTGGACCCTCCACCGCAGATCTGCAGCAGCAGGAGCCGCTTCTCGGCCGAGCTCTCGCGGCGTTGGCGATGCGGTCGGCGTGGGACAAGTTGCCCCACGCGTTGCGTGGCTGCCCCTCAGCGGCCGCCGAGGCCGAAGGCAGGCCCGCGGCGGCGTCGGAGTTCCCGGTCGCGCCGCCCGACGGCGACGGCTGGAGGTGGCAGAGCTCGACTCCCTGAAGTCCGGCCGGGGCAACGGCTTGAAGCCCGGGTCGATCTCCACCACCTGGAGAGCTTCGGCCATAGTGACCGCCGCCCTCTGCCCGCCGCGGGAGAGCCGAGAAGGGGTGACTACGGCGCCCGCAGGACCGCTCCTGCGGACAGGGCCGGCGGACGGAAGCACGGAAGGTACCGTAGGAAATGCCTGTCTCACCACCGTTCGCGACCTACTAACTCTTGAATACGGCAGCGTCAGCGCCTGCTGTTACTACGCAGCCGCCGGACCTACGTGACCTGAGCGAGCGCCCAATGGCTGCCTTCGCCGCGGCGCCGACCCGCCTCTGACTGACGGCCCTTGCAGCCAGTGATCCCACGGCGCCACGGGGCCATCAGCCAATGGTAG